GCGCGGTCGTGGGTGTGGGGGGGGGGGGGGGTGGGGTTCTCACAGCTGCATTGTGTAGTTGGCAGGAAACAGCCCGCTTTTCCCCCGCAGCCTCCCTTTCCACCACGACGCGTCCGTGCGATCCAACAGCTCGATGATGTCGCCGGCGCCGAAGCCGAGTTCGTCGTCTTCCTCCGCGTGGAAGTCGTAGAGCGCCTTCACCTGCTGCGTGGACGCCCTCTGTGGGACGGAGGAAGCACGACAATCAATACCTCACGGACGACTCAATAGTCTTCAGTGGTAAAGATGAGTTCATTGCTTTCTTTAAAGTTTTCTTTATGATAATTTGAAAAAACATTTTTGTACATAGAAGGGGGGGGACAATAACACAATACTTTGTATTCTTAACTTATTCAATTTAAACTAAAACATAAAAATCTGCTCTTTGTTTTGTGTTCGTGTTCCGCTCTATAATGACTATTATATGGACTTTATTAAGGGATGTCGAGGACAAATGTAAAGATGACAATGCTAGTAATTTAATATAACTAATTAAGTAGTGTAAATACATACACAATTGTTATTTTGAGTGCACAAACTAATTTGAGGGAATACTTTGGAATATGAGGGCGTTAATTACAAATTAAAAGAAATGATGAAACAAGTTAACCAAGTTAATATAATGAAGTTATCAAGTTTAATAATCGACGACTTGTTAAAGTCATGTCATCAATTTAAAAAATCCAGTTCCAGTTTCAAATGAGAGTATTTGTTGTTTTATTTTATATTATTATAAATTACATTTTAGTCTGAAAGTAATTTGATGTATCACATAAAATAATAAAATCGTGATCCGTCGCCCTGTTTTTGATCATGTGTGTCGTGAGGAGAGAGGACGGCTGACCTGAGGGGGAGGCATGGTCTCAGACGTGCGACGGGGAGGATAAGCGGCTGGGATGGGGCTACTTCTTCCTGTGTGGCCGATGGTGTGAGCTCGCTCCTCCAGACCGACTTTCTTAGCCTGTAAAAGACGAGAAAACGCTTTCCTGCTTTAGCCGACTGTAAATTAAAACAGACAAATATTGTGTGAGCCATAATATGGTGGAGAGCCACAGCGGGTTACTGGGGGAAATACTGCGGAGTATTTCAACTTATTTAACAAAATAGAAATCATCCATCTATCCATTATCTGTAACCATTTATCCTCATCAAACAGCGATCTTTCAGCCAGGAGACCATTGTTCGCTGTTCACGATCTTTTCCTAAACCTTGACCATCATTTCTTAAACCTAACTAAGTATATCATGATCTTTTTCCTAAAATGCACGAATAAATGAGGAGTAACTTCACGTGAGATATCATAAGAACCGTTTTGTTGCAGTGCAACTCCGTAGACTCAGTGAAGAGGACCTGTCACCTATGAAGATATGAAGGGCTCTTTCTAAGCTGACAAAAACACTCAATTTATTATATCTATCATATTTCATTTTTGCTGATAAATAGCTCTACATCCTACGCACTGCTCCTGTAAATAAACATGCATTCACATATTGAGTGTGAAAAAACAGTTGACATATTTAACCAAAAAGCAATGTATAAATGAACTAATATAGTAGATAACTTGTTGAAATGTTCAAGTGGCTTTACAAACTTGACGTAAAAATTGACACATCATAAAAAAAATTTATGACAAGATCTGCCCTTATATAATTAATATAATTAAAACCAGACCAATAAAGAGAAAGTGTACCAGCTGGTTGTGAGGCTGGTCTGAAGATCTGCGCCCTGAAACAACGATGGCTGCAGGCGTGTTACGCTGTTCAGGCAAACTTCCCCTCTTCACCTAAAGGGAGGAAACAAACAGGGAGAAGATGACTGTCACATCAGGAAACTACAGCGGCCGTTTCTATTTACATCTTCATTAATCAAATGTTTCTCATCTTATGTGAACAAAGACAAAAACAAATTTAAAACATTCACGTAAACATATATTCACCAACATGCAAGTATTTCTTTAACTTCCTAAAAAAAAAGTGTAACTGAGAAAACTGTTGTACAAGACGTGGAAATCAATGATTTAATTAATGTATTAATGTATTATTAGACTGACAAAATGGATTATTGATTTAGGTTATTCATAAAGATTTCCTGGTTAGAGTTTCTTCTTTTACATTTGAACAACGTACCGACTGGACGACGGAGGAGCTCCGACTGTCCGAGCTGCCGTCGTTGAGGTAGATCTCCCTGGTTTTGGAGATGGAGGTGGACTTGTAGAACTCCACCAGCTTGTTTAGGGAGGTGAACTTCTCCGACCACAGGAAGTAATGGCCTTTGTTGTCTTTCATCACTTTGAAGTGCTGAACGTCACTCTCGTGCCTGAGGGAAGATAAAAGCATGTGCTGTTAAAATGTTAATGTTAGCTGGACCTGAACAACTAACTGAGCAACCGATCTGAGTGTTGAAACATTTTAAACATAAACTTAAAAGCTCTTCAGCCAGTTCTTTGATTAAGAATTGTGTTTTTTGTTGTTTTCATGGTCCACACTTTTTGCCTGTCAATCATCTGTGAGCACTTTGAACATAACCACAAATAATGTTTGATAGATTGATAGATTGATGGATGGATTGATGGATTGACTCCTCATGCTCCATCATTCCTGATGGATTTCCTCGGCTGGATTGTCCTCTGCTGGTCATTGTACAAAACTACAACATCATGGTAAACTAAAGAGGAATAAGTCAGATCCTGGTGGCCGTGATGGAGGCGAGTAGAGAACAGAGTAAAAGAGAGCTGAATGTTTTCACTGGTGGTCTGCAGGACTGCAGACACTCTGAAGTAAACTAACTGAACTCCGCCTCTGACTTGTTTACTGCATCACTGCAGCTGCAGCTGCCTCCTGGTTCTAAATATAAGTCTTGCAGAGTTTGCAGAACACCAATGAAGCTACGAGGGCGAGATGATGAGTCAGAGTTGACGTCTTTTAGATATATATTGATGGGCGAAGAGGAAAAACATTAGTTTACTGTTTTGAAGGTTAAATCAGGCCACGAAGTGTAACTCATCTTTTACCAGATGTCAATCACACCTTTATGTGTTAAAAAACACCAAATCTACAACTAGATAAGTAATAAAATACATATTATTTGAATATGTGGTTGTCCGTCAGGAGTTTAAAGACCCAGTGATGAAGAATGAAGAATACATTTTCCCAGTTTTAATCCTGTGTACCTGTGGTAATAACATATATTTCAAAAATCAGTATCAGTATTTTTACAGACTTTTCTCTTCTGTAAAATGGTTTCAAATGTTTAATGACTCATCCTGCACTCAGGAAAGTTTACAAAAAACCATCCAATCAAATGAGACTTTGAGCGATTAGTTACCCACACCAGTCATATAAAACCTTACTTCACTGTTTGTGGGTCGTAGTCGTAAACAAAGCAAAAAGGAGAACGATTAAAACATTAAACCTCAGATGACTGAACAGGATTCTGGTAGTTGATCTTATGCCTGCAGGAATCTATTTGAACCTTTCATTGAAAAAGTGCTGCAACTGTCGCAAATTCACATCTGTGACCATATCTGATTAACACAATGCTAACAGCAGCTAGCATACCAGCTAGTTACACATTAACTGATAAGAACTGATAAGAAGTCGGGTCAAAGACAAAGATGTTTGTTCTGTCACAGAAACCTCCTTTTGGAGACGAAGATAACGTATGAAACAAATCCAATTTCATCTGAAACTGAACTGACGGATATGGATTTACAGCAAAAACAAATGCTTTTTGTTCTGATGTGTCTCAGGTTTTTAAGACAGATCTTCACTCACTTGACAGAGATGGAGAAGTCTCCCGGGGAGCTCTGGCATCCTCGGATCACAAAGTCTCCCACGTCTTTGCACCGGAGGATTTCCTCTGCAGCGCTGCGACTGGCGTTCTCCTGAAACCACCTGAACACAGAGAGGATTTAATGCTGCCGCTTATCTGATGTTGACAACACACACACACACACACACACACACACACACACACACACACACACACACACACGCACTTCTCCTTAAACGAGTACAGCTTTGTTTGTCCACAAGCCCAAAAATGACAAACCTAGAATAAAAACTTTTCAATTGATTCTGGTCTCTTCTGAATGTGAACATTTTGAAGTTTATTATCAAAAAGTGGGAATTAGTCTATGTCATATTTAATCAAATTTTAAAAAGAGCACAAACGTGTTTTTCTTTTGTTATTGCTGTGTTGTATCTGCAGTACTGTTGCAAAATTAGCATTAAACTGTTTTCACTGATAAATAGATTTTAAAATGGTTCGCACAGGTGGATTTCATCTTTCAAACGATGTATATAAACTGGATGTCATCCCAAATAAGAGATCTAATTCCCTTCCAGGTCCACTGCTTGTTTTAATGTCTCTAACCCAGGAGTTTGCTCCTCGATGTAGTTCTGAGGTATGAATCCTTGCAGTCCGTTCATCTCTGCTTTATACCAGTCGTCTTGTCGGCTTAAAATCTGATCAGAGGAAGTAAAGAAACGAGACGTCACACAAAAGATATTTTGAAGGCACATTAAGAAGAGAATCGTCATCTGCTGACCTTTAGTATATCGCCCTTTCTGAAGCTGAGCTCGTCTTCTCCTGTTGCAGGGAAATCATATTTTCCTCTGGCTTCCATCGGGACGGGCAGGAAGTGTTCAGCAAGCGTTCAGCAAGCGAAGAAGAGCAGCAAAGAGACGATCAGGGAGTCCACCACAAGGGTTTCTATACAGGCAGAAATAATTTCAAACAATTATAACAATAATTTCTTCCTTTATATTGAGTTTTTATTGTCTTCTGACACCCTGTATGTAAAAAAATATTGAAGTTGTAACCCTCAGTACACCAAATTAGGAAATATTGAAAGTTTTATGTTCCATGGGATATACAAAACATACAAAGAAAATGAACCATGTTATTCTATAAATGACGACACTAATGTTTGGGGTCAATTCCCTGCTTGATCTCTTAAAAAACTCCCATCACAGATATCTTAATAATCTTATTGGGGATCTGGAAGGTTCAACGATCCAAAACATAACATTAGGGTAAATAAAATAGAATGATAAAAGTTAAATAAAATGCATTCTAATCATAAAATAGATATACAGAAGCTCATTTAACAAAATGCATTTGCACAGAACTCAATGTTGAGGTAGATGCAGAGCAGATTTTAAACACTTCTTACATAAAGTCCTAATTTATCCGACTTCTGTTTGTTTTTAGGGGATGTGATGGAAGGGAACAGGATGTTGACTGAATATAAACACTGAGCACAAACAGCAGCAGTGTTCGTGATTCCACTCAGACATTTAATACTTCAGTTCCTGGTAATAACACAGCGTGTGGTCATGTGTGACGGGTTGAAAATCTGTCGATATGAATGAAAGACATGGAAATGACATGCTGGGGTTACAGGACCTGGAAAAAAAAAGATTTGTAATCTGTTCTTAAATTAGGAAGAGTCACAAAAGCCACTTCCTTGTTTGCTAACTGTTTACTTACAGATACACAAACAGGACGGGAATGCAGACGTCAACACATCCTTAGTGGAAATCCAATTGAAAGAGTTAAACTAATGGAGTGAGGACCAAAAAGTCCAATTAAAACAAAACCTCAGGATTTGAATCCCATCACAGCAGTGACTGTATGTCGAGTGTTACTTTTGGATATTTTCCCACAGATGTTAATAAATTATTCACTCTGTTTGTGGTTACGGTGAGAAGGATGTGGTATCATGAAGTGAACTGAATCTACCTTTGTTTCACTCGTGCAGCTGTAGAGCGCTTTGCAAACGTACGACTTTATAATGCTATAACATACCCACTGTGTTCCCTTCCCCCACGGGGCGAATAAACATCTCTCAATAAACAGACAGACTTAAACAGACTTAAAATAAAGTCACTTTTCTGAATGCACTTTTATCTGTTTGAGGGTAGAAGACAAACCTCTTAACATACCAGAAATGTACTTTAAATGTAACCAGTTATTCCAAACCAGATGGCAATTTTGCTGTCGCCAGGGTGGTGTAGCTCAGATAATTTAACAAAGTATGAATAAGGATTAAAAGAAGAAGAAGAAGAAGAAGAAAAAAGTCTAGCTATCTAAAAATATTGTCAGCTCGCATTCATACAATTTTGTCGATTAATCAATAAGTTTCTAAGTTTCCCCACGAAGAATCCTGCAACCACTTTAAATCTTGTGTTCACCTGAGATATGTTCATTATTTTCTTGGAAATAAGTTATTCCGTATGAAAAAAAGCATAAAGAATAACTACTCGAGTAAAGAAATCTCAGTCGACTGAGACCAAAACAACCAATTAGTCGACTAAGATGGTGCCGCCCTGGATAAAAAGAATGAATAAACATTTTAGAATGCTATTTAGCAAGTGTAGCGTGAGCTTGTTGCATAGATTAATAATTGATAATACGCTTTGGATAAAAGCGTCTGCTAAATGACTGTAATGTAATGTGGTGTCAATGAAGTGGTACTTGAATTTGCCTGACAGGACTGTCGACGTATAATTAGACTAATAAAGGTTAGGAAGCACTGAATTAAACCTAAAAATCTTATAGCCACATTTCTGGATCACTTTAGGTTAATTAAGGAAGTAGCAACTACTACAAAGTGGATCGTAAACTAACTGACACGACCAAACTTTAATTTTTTACCTGATGGTGTTCAAACATTTTAAATTATAAATCAAGTGAGTACACGTCATTTAAAAAAAACTTTTTTGGTCCATTAAGCATCAAATATTGTTGTGATTTTTCCCCTTATTACACATTTCACCTTAATCTTGATATGAAACATTTAAAGTGGTTTTAAATTAATGCACTTTGATTCATAACTACATGAAACAGCCTCGTCCAGTCTCAACTCCTGACTGTGTGTTTGAATGCCGAAATAAATAAAGGGAAATGAAATACAGTTTTAGTACAGCAAGCTGTTCCTGCATGACCTCAGGGACTTTTTCTATATTTCTTTTTTGATATCTAATTCAGGCCTCTTCTGCTTCAGTCAGCATTTAATGATTGATGTTACAAACAAGAGAAGCTGGAGAGGACGCCATCAATCATGAGTCGACCCCATTAACGCTTTTTCAAAAGTTAGTTTTTAGCTGTTTGTGTGGTGGAAGTACACAACAGAAGTGTGAATATTAATGAAATTATTATGGGTCAAAGTTTGGTTTGGCTCAGTAATCCCTTTCACTTCTTCTTTATGTTTGTTAAGGGACGGATCTTAAATACCATAAATATAGAAATGTGCATTTCCAGTTATTACGGTGGGCGTGATTACAGCCTCCAGAAATATTTTGCGGCTTTGAAAGATTTGAAAGAAAACAGTGGGACAGATTACAATGTATGAGTCCATGCTCAGTAGATTCAAATGAAATATTAGAACCCAGCGTCTATCGGTCTGATGTCAAAAAGCCTCTGGGAGCAACAGGCAATATTTCTAGGGTTCTCCAGGTATCAGAAAATAACTTTGCATTCAACTAATAGTGCATTTTACTTTGAGGACCTATTGATTTAAATAAGGGCTATTCAAGTGTTCGTACTGGGAAGTTGATTTACCTCGAGTTCTTTCCCAACATAATCCTTTGGGAACAAGTGTTTTTGGGCCCCATAGCATCACATGACGGATCTGGAAATTGCAATTCCACCGTTTGATTCCGCCTCTTTTGCTCTCCACACGGACCGTTTACCTGCATTAAACCAAGGCCGGCTCTAACGTGATTGGTCAGTACAACTCGGAGTACAAATGGAAACTAGAAAGCTTCCAATAAGCAAAGTCTTGTCCTACAGATTCTACATGTGGCTGCAGAATCTGCAGACATTGTCAATAATGTCAATAAGCAAAATGTTCTTTGTTTAAGTTGGAACTCCTAGTGGCCCGTATTGACATTTGTGACAGGAGAATACAACCACCAAAGCACATGACAACTGGTTTTCCTGCATTTGTAATCTACTTTAAAGACTTTTATTCAGTGTGGCTTTGTGGCACACTGTATATTATCCATCGGGCTTAATCATACTAATACTGTTAATAATAATCAGGTTTATCCAAAAGTTTGGCGCGCTTCTCCTCACACAGCGTTGCCAACAGCGGCGTGAAAAATATATCAAAACGTGCGGCCTGATCGGGAATAGTGTGCAATCAATTTTTCGGAGAGATTCGCCAAGCGGTTTTTCCGAAAATCCCGGAAAACCCCGAAAAACGGAGCAAAATGAAGTTTGGCGCGCTTCTCCTCACACAGCGTTGCCAACGGCGGCGTGAAAAATACATCAAAACGTGCGGCCTGATCGGGAATTGTGTGCTATCTATTTTTCGGAGAGATTTGCCAAGCGGCTTTATCAACAATTCCCGAAAATCCCCAGAAACTGAGCAAATTGTCCCCATTCACTTGAATGGGGTTTCGGCGTGAAGAGAGCAAAAAAAACACTTAACTTTGGGCCCATATTGACTAGCCGTACATTAACGTAGAAACATGATTCAAAGTTTAAAATGTAGACAAAACGCTGCACTTTATTGAGCCAAAGGGACATTTCGATAGCTAGCACAGTTTTCATGAAGTCACAGATTAAGTTTCATGAAAATTTTGGGTCTGTTTCAGATTTTATAATGGGTGTGTATTGCACGGCTCGTTAAGAGCTAGAGTGAGAGCATAACTGTCAGAGTGGAGCAGAGCAGGAAAATCTTCTGTGATTTTTCCAAAGAAATTGCTCCAGCTCCCACAATGTTTACTCTTTATACACCAGTTTTGGCCAAAAAGCTTGGAAATGTTGTGCTGTCGCACACAGATGTCTGTGGAATCCAACATATGAACTCCAACCAACTGCTCCATTAGACTCCATGTTAAATCTGACCACTCATTTCTCAAAGAAAGCAGACAGTACCAGTTTTGCATATTGCGCTTGAGCTCACATTTTTAAGACCACAAACATAAAAAACACATCTCCGCGTTTGCCAGAGTCTTATCTCTCTCACGGTATCCATATTTTATTGATTAGTCTCATGGTTTTGGTATAGAGGGCATATGTTTGACAGGTAGTTTTGTTGGAAATCACTGTTCATTCTCTCTTAATTAGCCTCTAACACACAGGTGCTCCAATCACCAACATGCACCCAAGCACACAGGTGTTTATATGAGCTCATTAGTGATGTTGATAAACACACAGAGGCACTGAGACACACACACACATACACTCCTCTCCCTCTGTCTCTCTGTCTGTCTCTCTCTCTCTCTGTGTCTCTCTCTCTGTGTCTCTCTCTCATACAGTCATTCAGGTCTTGGAGACTTTTAGAGGCCCCCCCCCCCCCC